GCTGATCAGCGAGGGATCAGCGAGGGAATTTAGCGAGGGATCAGCGAGGGAATGTGTTTTTTGTCATTTCCCTCGCTGATCCCTCGCTGATCTGCGAGGGAAAAATTCCCTCGCTGATAGTCGTCGCTGATACCTGGTTTTCTAGTAGTGAGAACAATGGTAAAAATCCTATTGATTCTTCAATTCATGTCAATTCTGATGAAGATAGAATATATGTCAACTCTCATGAAAAAAATGTAGATGTTATGGAGGTTGTGACCTGGGAGGCTAGTGAAGAATTTGATGTTGGACTTTCTCCATTTAAAGATGTCCAAAGAAACTGTGAAGAAATCGGTTTGGTAAATGATATTGAAACTCATGTAATTGATGATACAACAAGCTACACATCGAACAATGAGATTCAGAATGATGAAAATCCAGGTTTTGTTTCATACAGCTGTTGAAAACTACTTTTAATTCTACAATTTAATGTGATCAACCTGATTTGTATCACAGTATGTAACCCAAATTAGTTTCCTGATTTGAATTCTTTAATATCTTCTTGGTGTGATTATTGAATTATTTAATATCTGCTTTTTTATATCTATTAATTTTAGATGTATTTTGTTGTATTAGAACCTGTAATGCCTCTGTATGTATCAATGATTTAGGCATGGTTTTGGTACTGTGTATATAAAGACAGTATATTGATGTGCAAACTTGTGATACATTATTAAATGGTTGTGGTACTGTGTATATAAAGACAGTATATTGATGTGCAAACTTGTGATACATTATTAAATGGTCCTTGTATATGTTTGAATCCATGTTTTCAGAATACTTCTTACTGTCTACTCTGTCTTGGTTTTATCTTCTTGTTTTGATTCTGGAAATCTTTAATATCTAYAATTATATGTGTATCTTCTTGTGGTACTGTGTATATAAAGACAATATATTGTTGTGCAAACTTGTGGTACATTAGTAAATGATAAATTTATATGTTTGAATTCATGTTTACAACTATTGATCAAGCAGGACAGGGCATATCAATATCACCAGGTGGTACTAATTGGTATACTCCTGTAGTCGAAGAAATTATCAAGCCCGTAATAGGATCTGTGTATCCGTCATTGGATGTAGAAGAATCGATATACCAAAAATATGCTGAGACGAGTGGTTTTGAGGTACGACGATCAACCCAAAAGATTAATTCTGATGGTGTAATACAGAATAAATACTTCGTATGTAGTAGATTTGGTTTGCCATTGAAAAAGTCGTTTGATTCAATGGTACGCCGTAAACATCAAAGAGAAGTGCGGAACTCCAATATAAAAAGGACCGGGTGTACARCAAGTGTGAAGTTCCGATTGATGAAAGGAACAACAACATATGAGTGTTACGATTTTAAAGAGGATCACAACCATTCATTTTTGAGACATGAGGATATGGATTTGACCAGAAAAGGACGCCAAATGAAATTTTCAGATCAACGATTTGTTCATGATGCCGGAATATCAAATATGGGTGCCACACGGGCGCATAAGTTGCATACATCTCTAAGAGGAGGGTACGAATACGGTGGACCAACGGTTGTCGATTATCAAAATTATAAGAGGGATTGTGACAATTTTGTTGGTCGTGGTGATGCAAAGGTGTTGGTTGATTTGATGACAAAGAAGAGGGATGCTGATCATAATTTYTTTTTCGAGTACAATTGTGTTGGTAGCGAGTTGCATACTATCTTCTGGGTTGATGAAGTAGCTCGATTCAATTATTCTGAATTTGGAGATGTAATATCTTTTGATGCTATATTCCGAACAAACAGGTTCATATATTTTGCTTTAAAAGAAGATGGCCTTATTTATAAACTACATTTACTTATATGTTTATTGTTTCCGACATTCGATGGTTTTTGTGCCTTTCACTGCGGTTGACAATCATAACTGTAATGTCGTCRTTGGATCGGCTTTGGTTGGACATGAGCATGTTCCAAATTACAAGTGGCTACTCCAAGCATTTCGGAAAGCACATTCAAAACCCCCTATGATGATTCTTACCGACCAATGTCCTACGATGAAACAAGCCATTGCATCAGTCTTTCCAGATTCAAGGCACAGGCTTTGTATTTGGCACATCATGAATAAAGTTCCCAACAAGGTTATAAAGAAACCGAAAAACCTTTACTTGCAGTTTAGTTACGTAATTAATTCTGTTTACTCTTTATTTCTTACATAATTAATTTACTTGCAGTTTAGTTACGATCTCGTTAATAATACCACGTTTAAGAAACAATTTTTCAAGCTCGTATGGAACATTCACTTATCACGTGATGAGTTTGAGAGTAGATGGATGGTTCTTATCGAGGAGTTCTCCCTTCAAGATCATCCATGGTTGAAAGATATGTTCGCTCTAAGATCTCAGTGGATACCCGCGTATTTTAAAGAGCTTCCAATGTGTTGCCTCATGAAGACAACATACAGGTCGGAAAGTGCGAACTCATTCTTTAACTCTTTTTCAAAAAGTGGAAACAATCTTTTTCAGTTTATGTTGGGGTTTGAATTTGCGTTGGAGAAACAACGTCGGGAGCAACGTCGTCTTGATTATCACACGAGAACTACCTTACCTAAATGGTTGACCTATAGCCACCTGGAGAGGCACGCCTGTGAGATTTACACGCGTTCTGTATTTTTTGAGGTGCAAACCGAGATACACAGGGCTGCGTGGACATGTTCAATTAAGAGTGTCAATTCAAACGAGGAAGCAGAAACATATATAATTGAACATTTAGACAAAAGAGATGAGAAAATAGCAGAGTATAAGGTATGATCGTATAGAAAGTCATTTATTATTGGTTTTATATATTATTGTTTTTCTTTRAACAACATTTCGATTGTGATATTTGATGTTAGAYGTTTATATTATGCACAGGTTGTTCGGAACTTGAAGGAKTCTACCRTTKTTTGTAGTTGCAACCACATYGGTCGTCATGGTTATTTATGCAGACATRTGTTCAAAGTTTTGCTAAACGCCGGTGTTGAWWCTATAYCTGAAGAATAYATTTTGAGAAGATGGAGACGTGACCTTATACCTATTGAACTTCAAAACAGCCGTCAAAGAATATGCGACGTAGGGGAGGATCAACGGAGAATAATTAACGATACATATGAAATCGTCGATGATGTGTTGGATATATTAARARATGACAAWGAAAAACTAGAATCATTTGTGGCTAMACTCARAGAAATGAGAGATRATGTAGCMAAAGATCGCACATATGAACCTTCRATGAAACGTAAAGAGCGTGRAATAGAACAAATTCTTGGTTTTACAAGACCTRATAACATTGAGATACATYCTGCTACCGGTATAAGAAACAAAGGWTGTGGTACGTCAAAAAGATTGATTGGTGCAGCTGAGAAAGCAACAKTGAAGAGTAGCAGGCCTAAGAGGATGTGTAGGGGATGCAATATGATGTCTAATCATGATATCCGTAACTGTCCAAATAAGACAAAGTAGGACTATTCTGTTTTTTATGTTTCTGATCCATTTCTTTTTATATAAATACACTTATCAGTTTTTTTTTTATGATATCGATTGAATTAATTTCGTAGTTGTTATCGTTTTTTAATGGAATTATACTGTGTTGAGTATAAGTTGTATAGATATAAAATATAACTGGTTAAGTTGGTTTAGCAATTCTTGACTATTTACATGATGCATGATTAATGGATAATAGTTATGATTCAATGTGGAACATTATGATACATAATATAAATTACCTTGATAACAGTTTTCACTATTTAATTCATGATTTGTATTTATGATTTACTGTATGATGTACTGTGAGACAATGTGATACGATGTGATACATAATCACCCAGTACATACATGTGTGATATTTGTTTTAATAATTACTTCATGATTCGTAATTATGATACATAGTCCATACATGTATTGCAATATGTGATACCAACCATTAAACAACTTAATGAAATTACACAACATATGAAATATGCAGAATAATTAATGTATTTAAGAAATTTTTTTGAAATATCCATTTAATATAAGCTAAATACCAGACGTTTATGTCTTAAATACAAAAACCAAGCTTAACATATCAGTTAGAGAATCTGTTCCAAACAAGTTACAAAAAATAACTACCATTTACTGTATACTAAATGAAATACTATTCCAAAACAGTTCTTAAATACTTGCAAGCCTCGCTTCCCTGTTAGATTCTGCATATTTAAGCAAACGCGTTCTCTCCTTCAAATCCAGTGCGGTAAACTATTCACAATCTGCTATCACAAATGGTCGTCTAATGTTGATCTCTGAAAGCAATAGTTTAACAGTGTATTTCCTTCTCAATAATTGGAGTTGTTTGACTTGATTTGCTCATTCCGCATATAGTCCTGATTTCCAGCGGTAAGGCAGCTCCCCCATGTAACACTCCATATGACGCATCAAGAATACACCACAATCATGAGAATTTTGTTTTGTAGACCATTTCAATGCTATCTTCATCGGATCTATCCCAACAAAATCTTCATACAATGGATGACCTACCTTCTTCAGATGTTGTATCATCAAAAAATGCTGCAAGAAAACAATATATATGACACTCAAATCATTATATAAATAAACATAAAATGAATGAATTAAAAATATAGTTTGTTTGAAGTTCCTCACCAAAAGATTCGGTATTTCCTCATATTCGCTGGGTGCTTCAAGATCTTGCTGAAGGTTATCAATAACCAATATGGAAGGACGTTTGAAATTGAACACCACCACAAAGTAATGCATGTCTCTAACGATTGGAAATAATAACTGCAATTGGTAGTTGTGTGTTAAATGTAATATCTAAAAAGAAGTTAATAAATGTGGTTACTACATATTAACTCACCAAGTCAATTGATTTGAAAGTAACAATGTTTGCATCACCTCCAACAGCTGCCAATAGATTGTCAACAAACATATCCAGCTTCACATCCTCCTTTATGTTTGAATCAAGCATTGCTGTCGACTGGTTCAACAATTTTGTTGTTAGAAAATTTACAAGTTTGTATAAATGATTTATGTTATTTATATAACCACCCTTACAAGAATTGCGCTGTGCATAAAAAGCCTTCTTGGTGATGATTTGTTCCTAAAACGCTCTTCGTAATTTAGTAATGCAGCCCAACTATCAATGACATTACTATATATCTGTGTTCTTGCACATAGGGATTCTATCGTCCCTCTCAACGCAACGGCTCCTGATTTGGTCTCAAATATAGATTCACTGCATTGTATAACCAAAAGTAGTAAGTTAATACAATACTTTATCTGGTATAAGTATTAAACATAATATATTAAAAGGTAATGGTACTTACCAAGTTGGTTCTGTTGATGCATTTATCCAATTGCATATTTTCTTCCCAGAGCTAGTCTCCACTTTATCGATCTCCACGCATCGTTTAACATATGGAGATCTTAGTGATTCCTCTAAGTTCGCATCCCTTCTTGATGCTTTAGGTGCGTCACATATTGATTCCACTTGTGGGTTTGGTGAGAACAACGATTTTTTGAATGAAGGGATGAATGAAAGGGGTTGAGGATTCTGGACAGTCTTATCAGGTGAAATACCTAATCAAACTTTGGTATTTCAGTGTTCTTGTTTTGCATTTTCATGGCATATGAAATGAATGAATTATCTAGTTCCATATGAGTTCGTGGACTGTTCCAGATCGGTGAATCGACCAGGGATGCACCTGGTACAATTTGCATTCCAGCAGTTGAATCGGGGTTTTTTCCATATCTCTAGATTTCTTCTCCATCCTTTTCTTTGACCCCTTCGCAGTTTTCTTTGGCGTTTGAAACAAATGAATTTGAGTTTCATTGTTCACAGCATCTCCTGTTGAAGTATCTTCTTGTCCAAACATACTTTGCAGCTCCCTGCTCATTATCCTCAAGTCTCTATCCAAAGGGAAATCTGATATGGCATTGTCTATCAACATCTCTGTGCTTTGTTTCTGTGCTAAGATCGAATCCATCTTTGATCTTATACAATCCTTGTATTCCTGTATGTGTTATTTTAAACAAATATTACATTAGTATGTAATTAGTAGAATGCAAACCATAATGTAGAATGCAAACCATAATGTAGCATAACATGTCCAACTGTTGTGGTATCATGTGGTACATATTACTGTGTTGGGAAATAATACATCAGTATGTAATTAGTAGAATGCAAACCATAAT